GACAGACAGACAGACAGACAGACAGACAGACAGACAGACAGACAGACAGACAGACAGACAGACAGACAGACAGACAGACAGACAGACAGACAGACAGACAGACAGACAGACAGACAGACAGACAGACAGACAGACAGACAGACAGACAGACAGACAGACAGACAGACAGACAGACAGACAGACAGACAGACAGACAGACAGACAGACAGACAGACAGACAGACAGACAGACAGACAGACAGACAACAGACAGACAGACAGACAGACAGACAGACAGACAGACAGACAGACAGACAGACAGACAGACAGACAGACAGACAGACAGACAGACAGACAGACAGACAGACAGACAGACAGACAGACAGACAGACAGACAGACAGACAGACAGACAGACAGACAGACAGACAGACAGACAGACAGACAGACAGACAGACAGACAGACAGACAGACAGACAGACAGACAGACAGACAGACAGACAGACAGACAGACAGACAGACAGACAGACAGACAGACAGACAGACAGACAGACAGACAGACAGACAGACAGACAGACAGACAGACAGACAGACAGACAGACAGACAGACAGACAGACAGACAGACAGACAGACAGACAGACAGACAGACAGACAGACAGACAGACAGACAGACAGACAGACAGACAGACAGACAGACAGACAGACAGACAGACAGACAGACAGACAGACAGACAGACAGACAGACAGACAGACAGACAGACAGACAGACAGACAGACAGACAGACAGACAGACAGACAGACAGACAGACAGACAGACAGACAGACAGACAGACAGACAGACAGACAGACAGACAGACAGACAGACAGACAGACAGACAGACAGACAGACAGACAGACAGACAGACAGACAGACAGACAGACAGACAGACAGACAGACAGACAGACAGACAGACAGACAGACAGACAGACAGACAGACAGACAGACAGACAGACAGACAGGCAGACAGACAGACAGACAGACAGACAGACAGACAGACAGACAGACAGACAGACAGACAGACAGACAGACAGACAGACAGACAGACAGACAGACAGACAGACAGACAGACAGACAGACAGACAGACAGACAGACAGACAGACAGACAGACAGACAGACAGACAGACAGACAGACAGACAGACAGACAGACAGACAGACAGACAGACAGACAGACAGACAGACAGACAGACAGACAGACAGACAGACAGACAGACAGACAGACAGACAGACAGACAGACAGACAGACAGACAGACAGACAGACAGACAGACAGACAGACAGACAGACAGACAGACAGACAGACAGACAGACAGACAGACAGACAGACAGACAGACAGACAGACAGACAGACAGACAGACAGACAGACAGACAGACAGACAGACAGACAGACAGACAGACAGACAGACAGACAGACAGACAGACAGACAGACAGACAGACAGACAGACAGACAGACAGACAGACAGACAGACAGACAGACAGACAGACAGACAGACAGACAGACAGACAGACAGACAGACAGACAGACAGACAGACAGACAGACAGACAGACAGACAGACAGACAGACAGACAGACAGACAGACAGACAGACAGACAGACAGACAGACAGACAGACAGACAGACAGACAGACAGACAGACAGACAGACAGACAGACAGACAGACAGACAGACAGACAGACAGACAGACAGACAGACAGACAGACAGACAGACAGACAGACAGACAGACAGACAGACAGACAGACAGACAGACAGACAGACAGACAGACAGACAGACAGACAGACAGACAGACAGACAGACAGACAGACAGACAGACAGACAGACAGAAATTCATTTTTATATATATAGATAGAAGATAGAAGTTAAGATGTGTACGCACCAAATTTTGAAATTAAGTTCCAGCCAAACGAATTGCTGGATGATGTGCAGCAAAATCATGTTTTACTGGAAAATCAGTAGCCTGAAATATTTTGCTGGATGTTCCAGTTAATTGTATCAAATGTCAAATTCAGACCTGTCCTCGCAGTTTGGTTGGTAAATTACTGGTTCGCGGTTTTGAATGTTTTGCAGTTTAAGAAGCCTGAGCATTGTCAAAAGCTCATACAATTCTCAGGCGAAATAATATGAAGGAAGCTCTTGGTCAAAGTTCTTGGTGATTTGATTGGACAGGTCAGAATAATGCCAGTTTGCCGTCCTTTAATTCCTTCGGAATCTAAATGTTGGGCAGCGCATGCAACAGTCAGTTAGAATAAATCAGTAATTCGAATCGGATGAATGAAAACAGTCCAATGAATATTCTGCCTAGTTAGCTGAAAAAATGTTTACTTTGTTACACTATTTCATAGATTAAATTAAAATACTACCCATTAATTAACATGGTAAAAAACAGGGTAACATTAGTATCAATTCCACTAAATTCGAGACGAAAAGTCATAAATCGTCCAAGTTAAAACAACAAACAACTATACTCGCAACCGGTCACTTCGCTGAAAATTATCCAGGATTGAAAATACTTAAAAATACTTAAGAATACTTATGCGAGATTTAAAAATATTTAATTGATATTCGAACTAAAGTTTAGAGTGGGATGCCCCTAGATATAAGCCATAGTCTGTACGGGGTACTAATGTACTACTAATAATGATACTAATGTTACCCTGTTTTAATTTTAATTATATGTACATGTACAGAAATACCACCGAACCTAGCGTATGGACCGTTGAAATCCAACGCGATAGTTTCCCACACGGCTTGTGGTGCGAAAATCCTCTTCATCGGTGTTGGCATTTCTGGTCGACCATTCATTGCGCAAGTTTGACAGGATTTGACCCATTCTTCTGCGTCGGTAGCCAAACCAGACCACCATACGCGTTCCCGTAGAATGCTTTTTTGTTTGGCGACCATTGGATGGCCATCATGGGCCAGATTCAGAGCTTTCTCGCGGAGCTTACTTGGAATTATGGCGCATCCGTTCTTCAACAGAATCCCGTCCTGTACCGATAAGTCGTTAGATACATTCTCAAATCGTTTTGGGCGGCACTTGAAAAAAAAAATAATCATCAATGATTTTCACACATTCCTTCCAAAAAATGCCATAAAGAAAAGTAGAGTTTCAACTTCCATGCCACTACCGCACTCCGGAAGTCTTCTTGATACACAATGATCTACTTTGATCAATGTTCCGGTGGTCTACCAGACTCACCATAATTAATTTCCGACTATTGTTCCGGTGGTCTTCCAGACGCACCTTGGGCCATCAATGGCCACAAACCTTTTGTAAGCATTCCAAGTGGTCTTCCAGACGCACCATGGACCACTGTAGGTCACAAACCACTGACACCAATATTCTGGCGGTCTTCTACACACGCCATCGCATTTCTAGGTTACATTACGCATTTATGAGCAATACCGGTGGTATTGACATATCCAGATTTCAAACAAGAGTAAAAATTAATATCCAGTTCTCTGGCTAGTAATCCTCCTGGCAGGATCGCCAATGTGGAGTTCCGCCTTCCAGAGGAAAGCCCGATTGCTTCAGGGTGTGGTATCGTGTCCGTTGTGGGAGTTCCGCTGAGAGCTTACCTATCTGTCCGTACGCGGTCGTGGTCCGAGGGCTAGGGTGAAAAAACACTTGGAAATTTTATCGTCTCATTCCGTCACCGACCATTGGGAATGCAAAAAGTTTCTGTCCGCTTTTTTTTTAGCAAAAATGGACGATCTCTGGAAAAGGTTAGATTCCGAAACATTGGTAAGACTTACGGATAAGTCTATACAGTTTTATCAAGAGTTTTATCCAATGTGGTATTATAATATCTCGTGTTATATTTTTTTTTCGCTGCAAATGCATTTATTCTCAATGTAAATATTAGAAAGTTTTTTTATATCAACGAGGACCAGCATCCTCCATTTGAAGAAATGGGTATTTTTTTACCCATTTTACGAAAAACACAATTCAAGAAGATGGGTAAAAAAACACCCATTTATTGACAGATCCCCCATTTACCCATTAATGAGTAAACTATAGTTTACCCATTAAATGGGGAGGGGCACTTTTATCGGAAATGGGTGTTTTTATACCCATTAATGGGTTTTCGCGAAACACCGTGTACCGCACATCAACCATTTGCCGAATGAAATTTAACTCGTGGTTAAAAGTGACATTTCGAAAGTTATTTTCTGTGTTCGAAAATCCCTGTGCTGTCGATCGACCGGTTTTCGAGAAGAACTTAGCCAAGGTTGTCAAAAGTTAACTTCTTGTCTGTCAGAAGTAACCACGCTCGGATAGCAGGGTTAATCGATAACTTTCCATCTGCCAAATTTTCACCAAAAATTAAAATAATCCACCAAATGGTTCAGACCCTTAAAGCTCCTAATACTTTCGAACACAAATTCGACAGTGAGCATGCATAAGGGCGTAAACGCGATGATCGATTCTCTTCATCGATGTTCTCTTTTGTTAATAACTCGCTAGATTTAACGTTTCTCGGTGCGTTTGCTGTTGCTTTTGATAGCCAATACAACCTGTGACAACACTGCGTTAAACAAATTCTAGAAAATTGTTTTGCTTCGCTGTAGCAATGCTAGGAGAAAACCGATGAAGAGTATCAATCATCGCGTATACATACGCCCTTATGCATGCTTATTGTCGAATTATGCAGCTCTAGTCAGAATATTGTTGAATAACACTTAGTTTAAAACCAAAAGGATATGCAGCGGAAAAAGAATTGAAATAGAAGTTCATTTGATATACTTTTATAGGCAGTACAAAAGTGCGTCAAGTTTGGACCTGCGTCAAATATATGGTGCCTCCACGGTATGCTTGTATATCACAGAAACGACTTCGATACACGTGCATTCTGGTTGTCTGGGAGTACCTTACCTATGTGCTAACAACAATAGAATATTTCGGATTAGGATGAAATCACACTACCAAGCAACAGATAACATGAACAATTTTCAAATTTTATTTAAAAACAGTTGAAAGAGAGAGACCTATCAGATTGGTTTGATTCGATTCGAATGTGTAACGTGCTAGAGATAAAAAAAAAATACATGTGCTGCCTGGAGTTGATTATCAGCACGTTTCACCAGATTCCTAGCCTCAGTGAGTAACGTTACCTTACGTCTAAGCTAAGTAGTTCTCAGTGAATGTACAATTTATAGTTTCGCTTTTATATTATGTACCAATCGGTTGTGAGAATAAATCCTCCAATTGAGATCATTTCGATTGAATTCAGATTGTTGTTTGAGTGTAGGTGTAAGTATGTGCAAGTCTTTCTCGAAATGTTCCTTTAAAATCGAAACGATTCAGTACATATCCTAGCCTATCGTTTAGATCTGTTTTGTTCTAATAGCTGCTATTATTGTTCTCTTGTTGAATAAGTCTTTTCTCCGTGAGGCATCTGCGTTGAAATGTCGATAGGGTTAAGAGAGACATAGTGAACAGGTGGGGCACAATGAGCCTACCCCGAACAACCAGAAATCTTAGGCTAAAGTACAGGATGCTCACTATACCCCTCCTTCCCCTACATATGTTTCTTCAAAAGTGGAATGATTGTGATCGGGCCTGATTCTGTCTTCAGTGGAATGCAATGCACTAAGTATTATATTAAACATCTAATAGCTATTGCGAAGATTGCTTCGTCAGAAAATTAAAACTTAAGGGATGAAATCTGTTGTTAGGAAGAAGGCACTTGTATTCTACAGCTATCAGAGATTCGTGGGTCTCCTTCGTCAGTGCAGTGCGCGTACTATTAGCTAGGTTCTAATTTAAACTACCGTCATAACAAGTTATATTGCACTCGTGTCATTTCCGTTGGTTAACGTACCATCCTTAGATCTTCCATTCCTTCAAAAACTTAACAACTCTATTCAGCTCATTGAGCCACATATTAAGCTCGTTCGGTGTATCCACCGACAGCAGGTAGTTTCTAGTGTTCTCAGACTGCTGAGATTGCTGCTGCTGCTGTTGTTGTTGTTGTTGATCGGAACCACTCATTCGATTTGTCGAATGTTGATGCGAGTCGGAGTCCTTGTAGCTGCTGATTCCACTGCTACTGCAACTAGTCGTTCCCTTAGAGAATACCTCCACCTGGATGGTCCTTTTCCGTGAGCATACCGAGCGATCGGCCAACTTTACTTCGTCGTTGATACACTTGGTTAGGTCGATTTGGAGAGTAGGGAGCTGCGTCGTAAGAAGAAACGAATGATTCTATGCTCGAAAAAAAAATGCACCGAACTTACCTTCTCCTGACATTCCTGAGGGTAATTCCAAAATTCCAACGCAAACCCATTGACCTTGCACCATTTTCTGCTCCAATCGATGCTTCCGCCTCGAATGTCACCCACGGTCAGAAATCCGCTGACGTCCGAGTTGACGAATAGCACTTCGCTCTTGATGCTCATTCCGATGCCGCCCAGCAAATTAGAATTGTACACCATCGAATCTAACTTGAGGTACTTGAAATCCTCCACCAGGTAGATATTGTGATCGCCCTGCTTCCGTACCATCTGCTGGAAATTGCTCGAAGCAGAATAGTAAGGCGATTGGCGACAATTTTCCAACATCTGTTCGTTTCCCACCATCTGGTGGCCGTGGCTGTTCGATGGAAGCAAACTGAAGGACGTTAGCGTTACAAAACCTTGCGATTTGAAGCGGGAAAATTCGTTATCGAAGTCGAAGTTTTTCGGCGAGCTCGAACGGGACGATAGAAGTTTGGCCGGGCTTGGGAGCGAATCCAGAAGGTTTTTATTGTCCTGAAATGGGGAAAAAAAGAACTGTTTGGGATCTGCAAAACTATACATTTTGTAGAATTTTTATACCTTGTTCAGATGGTACTTGCTCTCGAAGCTATAGTTCCGGGCATTCTTCCGCAGTCGCAGCACAAACACCTCCACCCGAATCTCGTAGTCGGCGTCCAGATCGAGGAATTTTATCTCACAGTTCCGGAAGCACACCCGATCCTCGTGGCGTTCCTTGGACAGGGTGGCCTTAACCTGATTCTTGTACGAGCACACAATCAGATAGAAGTAGTTGAACAGCATATCATTCATGGCAGTTTCCTTCAACGGAAACTCGAAATGATTCAACGCCACGACGCCAACCTTCTTGCCATCGCTCAAAACCTTCCCGTTCGAGTTGTAGTCGATTTTACTCAACTCATTCCTAGCGGCCGTTTCCTTCAACGTCGACAGCAACATTAACCGTTCCGCTTCGATCAATTCTGACGAACACTCAAACTCCCTCGTGTTCCGACAAACCGCCAAAGCTTGCTTCAGCTGTTTCTTGAGATCGCACTGCGTTTTGATCTGATTGACCAGTTCCGCCAGGAACTGGTTGCTCAGCTCCACCAACGATCCCGCATTGCTCAGCGACTGATACATTTCATCCGCTTCCGTGTCACTTTCGTACTTCCTACGATATTCGTCCAAATCGAAAGCCACCCGATTGCCTTCCTCTCGCTTGACGCCTGACGGTTTCTCATCAAATAAATTCGCAATCTTTCGCTGCTCATTCTTGATGAATCTCTTGCTCTTCCGAAACGAAGAACGCAATCTATCCTTCAGGTTCCGGTAGATATCACTCCCGTTCAATCGCATCTTCTCCGACGATGGAGAACTATTGACCGGTGACAAATTCGACACGCTATAGTCCTGAGCACTCATCAGCTCCGAGATGTCGTCCGTATCGATGGTCGAGTTTATCCGTTCCCGGCTGCCGGCGTCTGTTCGGTTGTTTCTCCGACTTGTTCCTCCGCTTGTGGTGAAATCCACCGTGTCGTACCCGGTGACGAATGCGTCCGATTCCGTGTCGATGGTGCCGAGCTCTGAGAGGGCGATGTTTTCGCGCAGCGATGCGAGCAAATCGTCCAGGCCTCTGTCTTGGTACTTTTGCAGCGATTCGATCTGGCCGCGGGATAGAATAGGAAAAAGACCGTTAGCTTTTTGTCTACCTTCGGCAAATAGGGGGAGGATAAAATGTTCACAGATTAAAAGTAGGTAGGCAAATGCGGGACAGTTAGAAGGATTTTAGATATTTTCGTTTGTTGGGATGTTTTATTGCCGATTTACCTGAAGTTTGTAAAGGGATTAATCCGACAGATGAAGCCTCAGCAGCAATGACAGAGTGGCTTTATCCCATTTCGCATAATGTCTTTTGATATAATGACGTATGGTATAATGTAATTTAGCATTACTATGCTTTAGACAGGGGGTTTCAGTATTTAAATCATTTGAATCTTCATATAGACAAGTCTTAATGGGCTCTCCACAGACTACGTGCACAGTAGACTGATGCAAAATTTGAAATTTTCGCTCCACAGTGCTTAAACGGTTCCAAATTGGGTCCTGCTTAGCCTCCCAAAATTTGAACTACTTTAGTAAGAAACTGACTTGGCACAAACCATTTCAAGTTTATATGAGAATTACTATGGGAAAACTTATGTTTTTGTTCAAAGCTATCTAAAATTCACCAACTTTGTTGAAAACTACTTTTCAATCAAATTTAAGGATTGATTCAAATCACTGATGCCTTATGATTATGCTCATTCAACTGTTCAGCAGGCAACATTGGTGTTTCTGGTGCGAAGAATAGAGCACAAATATCATGGCTACTATGTCACACTGCAAAATGCAGTGTTGCCCACAGAACAGCTGCTTGATCATGCCATAAGATTATCAATCTCTTACACAATTAACACCATTTTAATTTGACATTTGGCTAAAAAACGATAGTCCGCAAAATTGTAGCTTAGAAAATTTCCCGTAGAAATAGTTATAGAAAATTTCGAAAAAGCAATATGGTAAATGGGTAGAAGACAATCCACAAAAAGTTTGGTTTTCCCATAGTAATTTCCATGTAAACTTCGAATAGTTTGTGCCAAGTCAGTTTCTTACCAAATGAGTTTAAATTTTGGGAGGCTAATCAGGACCTAATTTGAAACTATGGAGCGAAAATTTCAAATTTTGCATCAGTTTAGTGCACAGGTTTTTGAGAGAATTTCTTGGATAATTTAGTTATAAGTAGAAGAAGCCGAACATCAATTCAAATAAGCCGGAAGTTATTTCTGGATAGTTTCAGAAGGCTAAAATCGTTCCTTATAAGTTTCCGAGACTGAAAACTTTTCCTTTTAAGTTGCGGGAGTCAAAAATAATTTCTTATGAACTGCGGAAGCCGTTAATCGTTCCTAATAAGCTTTAACCTGAAATTGTTGCTGATATGATGAGGTTTTTTTTTATTCTTTATTAGAGAGATTTTCAGTTTGCGGCTAGTTCGTCTCTAAAATTTATGTAAAGGTGCAGAAGCCAAAAACGTTTCTAATAAACCACAAAAGACACAAATCTGTCCTTATCTGTCTTTTGTTATAAGTTGTAGAAACTGAAAATTGTTTCTAATTGTAGTAGGCCTGAATGATAGCAGAAAGAATGATTAGTATTCCAACCAAGTTAAGCCTAGTATACAGATCCAAGCGAAACGAAAATTGAAGCACGCGAAAAATCATGAAATTTCGCTAGCGAAAAAGGTTGTGAAAAAATGTTTGTGGAACATTTTCCAGTTTCCTTTTTTCGCAGTTTACAGTTCATGTGAAACGAAATCGATCAGTTTACACCTCCGGTGAAGTGAAAATCTGACAGATACGCTCTTTCTTGAAACGTCAACTTAGCTGCTGCTCTTTTCGCTAGCGCTGCATGCGCGAAAAAAAAAACAAACGTAATCGAAAACGAAACGATCCACAAAATTAGATTTCGCTGGATCGTATCTGTTTACAGTTCAAAGCGAAGTCAAAAATTTGCCAATTGCGTTTTTCACGCAGGTGGAAAATTTAGTATTTTGTATGAGGTTTTCGTTTCGCTTCGATCTCTATACAGGCCTTTAGACGTAATAAACAGTAGCTCCTAACAACCTAGGACGGGATTTGACAATCAGATAGCGATTTCGAGCCAATTTGCTGTCAAATTCGAGCCAGTTGCCGATTGGTCGATTTGACAGTAGCAATCGTGAATCAATGTTGACGTCAATGGCGTTGTTAATTGTTTATATTTGCGAAAGGAAAGTTGGAAAATATGGTCCACGGCGTGCTTAAAGCGATGGATATTCTTGTTTGTTTATGGTTGTTTTTATTGTATTAACCAAAATTATGTACAAGGTGCTAAACTGCGGAAGAAACTCTGAATCAAATAAAAATAAAAATCCTGGCATCATTGGTCAACCCTGTCAAACACCATGCACTAATTTTCGACGGGCATTCACCACAAACATTAAAAAGAGTGAGAAGCTGGATTGTCAAGTCCCGTCCCGGCTAACAACAACTCTCGATTACTTTTTCGAAGGGACGTATCAGCTTTTGTAAACAATACATTCGATCGTCGATTTGGCGTCACTGGTAGCTCACCCACGCATGCTTACACTACCATCAGATAGGGACATTTTTCCCTACCTGATAGTGGTGTTAGAATGCGTGGGTGAGTTACCAGTTACGCCAAATCGAAGAACAAATGCATTGTTTACAAAAGCTGATAGGTCCCTTCGACAAATTAATCGAGAACTAGTTTTACTTTCTTTAAAATTTGTCGAACCTCTTAACGGAATCCTTTTATAGCTTTAAGTGTGTTGGTTTATTTCTCTTTATAGCTTTGAGTGTGTTGGTTTATTTCCTTTAAATTTCGTTATAATTGCTTATCTTTTGACAGATACGCGTATTTCGTCTACTACTTGCAGACTTCATCAGTGCCAAGTACTCAAAACCACTGAAGAATCCATCCTTTATCTACGAGTGAAATACTAATCAATAGGTACTAAACATCAACAGGTATCCATTGCCATGTCACAATTTACCTAACAAGGTACTTAAATTTAGTCTCCAACAGGTAGAGGCATGCTACGATGTGTGGTTTTAGGTAGCATGCTAAAAACTCTCGAGTATCCGTTTCCTTGATCTCTATTAAGCAATGTTGATGGATATTTCTAAACTTTCTGCTACGTCTAGTTTCCAAGGCGAAGATACACTCCGCAGGATATTAATGTTATCCTTTGTCAAATTGTGCCTCTTTGTAACGATATGTTCTGCAACCTTGGATTTAAATTCATAATGAAGTCCTTTATCCATCTCTTTGTTAGCCTTTTTACCTCTGCGATGTGTCCCTTAAACCTTGTTTCCAAAGTCCTTTCCGTCTGACCAGTGTACATTTTATTGCAATCTGGACAAGAGATTTTGTAGACTTCGGATTTGCCTAAGACATGTATTGAATATTTTGTTGATCCTAACAGTGACTTCAGCTGATTTGTCCTGATGCTGAATACTAAATCTAGGCCAAAACTTCTAAACTTTGAAATCAATGGTTTGGGTATGTTTTTGTCGTAATTCATCGCTACCCGTTTTAAACCCTCAGTTACTGGTGTAAGAGATGTTTAAATACGCCCAAAACGATCCCTTGTTCTTTTATAGATTACTGCTTGAATTGTTTTTTTTGTTGATACCCATTAAGTCTAGCGATTTCAAGTCACAGCACTTTTTCCGAGTGTACCAGCAAAGGAAACCATCAGCCTTTTATAGGACTGGCTTCTGAAGTAACGTGAGGATTTCTACTTGGAAAAACAAAGTTCGGTCATATCTCAAGCTTACTCGTCTTTGTATGGAGGAAAATTGTTTCATTTTCAGAGAAAATTTTTATTTCTATAAATAATTTTTATTTTTTCGTTCAATTTTGAAATCTATAGGAAACCAACAAATACAAAGTGAGTAATACCATAGAGGTTGGTAATACCAGGGTGCAAACTCTTCCTCTTAGCGATACAGGCAAATTAAAGGAAATAGCTCACATTTTTGAAATCGCTAGACTTAATGGGTATCCCGAAGCCTCAAGCAAGAAAATGTCCGATGTGGAACTCCGGAACGCCATCCTGCAGCTAGTGAATCGCATCACGAGGCAGCGATTCCTGGAAAATCGGGGAAATCCGATTACTGACTGTGAGAAGATTATTGAGTCCTTGGCGAGCGGGATCCAGGATTTCCAGTACGATCCGGACGGAAGAGTTTTCTTCGATGGCTGGTATGCGAGAGGTACGAGGATGTTTTTACAAATGACCCTGGCCAATCCCTGGATGATGCCGCCCGTGTGAGATTGCTTCTTTGCAAGCTAAGCACGCCTTTGCACGAGAAGTATGTCAACCCCATTCTTCCCAAGTATCCCCGGGACGAAACCGTCGAAGTCGGTTTTTCATTCCCGTTACCAGTGTCTCCAGTATGCAAAAAGTGACGCGGATGACTTCACATCGTATGCTGCCATGGTGAACGTTGTCCAAGCTCAAACCGGACCAATTCAAAGTATAGTCCCTATATTCATAGTCTGGCGGATAGAATCTCGGGAACCAATTGAACAGTCAAATAGCGGAACCAATCGAGCAAATCACGACCAACAACAGAAACGAGCATATACAGCAGTCAAACTTCAACACGACTCAGCGTCCGATATCACCTCCATCTCAGAAGAGACATGGGTCAGCATCGGACAGCCACCCACTCAACCGACGGAAGAATCTGCAGTCACAGCTTCTGGTGGCAACCTCAACCTTCTCGCCGAATTCCAGACTGAGATCACCATCGGAAATGTTACCAAGATTGGTCACATTTTCATCTCGAGCAGCGCTGAACTCAACGTTCTTGGAATCGAGACTATGGATCGGTTCCATTTGTGGTATGTGCCGATAAGCAGCTTGGTTAACGTCGTTCACTATCGTTCCTATCAGTTCATCAATCAACTCAAGTGACAGTTTCTAGAGGTATTCCGAAGCACGCTGGAAAGATGCACAAATGCACAAGCTGAAGCCCGACGCACATCCCGCCTATTGTCCGAAACGTCGCTGCACTCCCCAAGGTGGACGCAGACCTTGAATGGCTCCAGAACAACGGTATCATCATTCCAGTTCAATTCTCGGATTGGGCAGCACCGATAGTCGTTGTACGCAAGTCGGACAACGTATCAGTCCGTGTAAGTGGCGATTGGTGGGGATCGGAGTCATGCGGTTAGCGGCTTCACAAGTCGTTCAGGCGTATAGTGAGTGCCACGAAGTGAGGGTTCAATTCCCGCTTCAGGCGGTTGAACTTTTCGCAGCCCGAGAATTTCTCTACTGGTCTACTGGGTGTTGTATGTTGTGTATTGTCCGTTGTCTAGTGTTAAGAGTTCAATCTGTGCAACCTATGGTTGAAGACGCTGTCAATTGTCAATTGTCTTTATTATTCAACGGAGCTGAACAACGCGCTGGAATGTGACTGTCATCCGCTCCCTCATCCCGACGACCTCTTTCCGGAACTGGCTGGAGCACGTTACTTTACCCATCTCGATTTGTCTGACGCCTACCTACAGGTCGAGGTCGAAAAGGAATCGCGAAAGCTTCTCACGGTCAACACGCATCGTGGACTGTTCCAGCATAACCGACTACCTCCTGGAGTCTAGTCGGCACCCGGCGCTTTCCAGTGCATCATCGACAGCGTGGTGGCCGGCATTCCCGGAGTCAAGCCGTATCTGGACGACATCCTCATCGCTGGTCGCATCAAGCAGGGACACGATCGCAGTTTCTACGCTGTTCTCGAGCAGATACGTGAGTATTGTTTTCACCTCACCTCGAAAAATGTCGTTCCACATTCTCCAAGATTGAGTTCCTCGGACACATGGTGGACAAGGACGGCATTCGACCTGATTCTGCAAATCGGAATTTCGAAGATGCAGTCTCCGGGGCCTCATAGCCTAGTCAGTAAGAGGGGTTCGATTTATGGTCCGGTCGAGGGAATCTTTCGGGTTGGAAATTTTGTTGACTTCCCTGGGCATAGAGTATCATTGTGCTTGCCACACAATATACAAATACATGCATTGGTATTGGCATCGAAAGCTCTCAATTAATAATTGTGGAAGTGCATTTAGAGCACTATGTTGAGAGCCCACAATAAGCTTATATGCACTAAGCAATAAGCTTGAAATGTGAATAAAAATAAGAAGAAGAAACATCCGAAAGATGTCCAGCAACTCCGCTTCTACCCCGGTGCTGTCAACTACTATGGTAGATTTGTGAAGCAGATGAAGCAACTAGGGCTCCCCTGGACAACCTCCTCAAGAAGGATGCACGCTGGAACTGGACCAAGGATTATCAGAAATCTTTCGAGCAGTTCAAGACCATTCTACTTTACGACGTACTGCTCAAACACTACGACCCGTCTAAGAGATCATTGTTGCAGTAGATGCATCGGTGAAAATAAGGCAATCGCTCATGCCTCTCGCTCATTGACCCAGCAGAGATGAACTACGGACTAGTGGAGAAGGAAGCAATGGCTCTGATATTCACTGTGACCCGTTTCCACAAGATGCTGTATGGATAACACTTCCTCCTGCAAACCGACCGGCTCAAAGAAAGGTATGCATGTTTACACAGCAAATCGTTTGCAGCGCTGGGCGTTGACACTCCTGCTGTACGATTTCTACATCGATCACATTTTGTCTACGAATTTTGGTTATGCAGTTTTCCTGTCCCGGCTAATGTCATCGTATCATAGACCCGACAAGGATTACGAGATAGCCGCCGTGTACGTCGAATCGAAAGCCAAAGCGATTATCAACGACACCATCAGCAACCTTCCACACGGCGAATGAGAACGACCCAAATTTGAGTTTAGTTCACTCATAAACGCCAAAAGTGCAGGAACTCAGCGATGAGTAAATTAGTCTCATGGTTTCCTGTGGAAAACCTAAAAAATATGCCGGAAAATGAGGAAATTGACGACAATTTTATTCAGTCTCGGAGTAGTACCAATAGACTGAGTGAATCCAATCTTTACTTTTCTCAAATTCGGGAATTTTTCCCTAGAAAATCCTGGAAAAACCTGGGAAAACATGAGACAAATTTTACTCAACGCTGAGTTCCTGCACTTTTGGCGATTATGAGTGAACTAAACTCAAATTTGGGTCGTTCTCATTCGCCGTGCAGTCACGCACCAGACGATTGTGGCTGAGACGCGAAAGAATCGCAGTTCTTCGGCAAGTGGTGAATTTCCCGAACGAAGGTTGGCCAGCATATGCGAAGCAGATTTTTGATCCTGATGTCAAGAAATTTTTCGCCAGACAACTGTGACTTTTCAAGTCATCGACAACTGTGTTATGCTCGGCGTCAATTGCATCGTGGACACCCAGGAATGGACCGGAAGTAATCTTTGACCCGCAGTTACATCTACTGGCCCAATGTTGACGACGATGTGGTGCAGTTCGTCCGACAGTGCACTGCATGCACTGAAGCAGCGAAGTCTTCGACGAAAGTAATCCTGCAATCGTGGCCTCTTCTTAAAAAGCCATGCCAACGTGTCGATATTGATTTTGGTGGTCCAATTGCTGGATACTACTATTTCGTCATAGTGGATGCATTTTCCATGTGGCCCGAAATGTTTCGCACAACTCGGACACATTGGTTTCGGACAACGGAACGCAATTCACCAGCAAGCAGTTTCAACAGTATTGCCGCGCGAATGGCATTACCCATCTCCACACTGCTCCCTACCACCCGCAGTCCAATGACTAGCGGAGCGATTCGTTGATTCAGACAAGCGTGGCCTCAAGAAGCTAACCAAGGGAGAAGGCTCGCCCACACTGGAGCACCTGCAGACATTCCTTTCGGTGTATCGCTCAATTCCGATCCAAAACACACTACACTCGACGTCTCCAGCAGAAGCATTTCTCGGAAGACCCGTGCAAACTACTTTGGACCTGTTGAAGAAACCTGTTCCTGTTACTCAAGGTGCCAAGAACCACAAGTAAAACGAGTCAACGAGTAGTCAACCGCGACTGGTCAAGGCGATGACCTGGTCTACGTTGAGCAGCATCACAGAAACGCCAAGTCCTGGAATCCTGGTCGAGTCATCTAACGGAAAGGTTCTGTTCCTGGAGATAAACGGAAACCGAACCTGTTGAGGTCGCATGTCAACCAAATTACGTCCTCGTCACAATTCTGATGTCCCAGAGTAATCGACACAGCAGCTACCATGGGAAATCCTGTTCGATAGGGTTCAAGATGCCATAGCTGTACCGAATGATACAGAAGTGCCAGTCAATCCTGATGTCCCTATTACTTTTGGTTCCTTGTCACTCGAAGTTGACGTAGTACATCCGGCACGAATCCGATGGTCATTCATGAAGCTGCTGCTGAAAACACAGAAGTGCAGTCTGCACAAATACCCGTGCCATTTGAACCAGTTGGAGAATTTCTACGACGTTCCGTACGTGAATCAAGAATTCCAAGATGGCTCTCTTCCTATGATATGTTTTAAAGGGCGAGATGTAGGAGGCCCTGCTTGAATGATACTGGTTTTACTTGTTGGCCTTGGCCACGGATATACCACACTAATAGAGGCAGGATTCCATCCAGAATGAGCTCAAAAGACCTGAAATCGTGCTCGACCATCTTCGATTTGGATGACACTTGGTACATATTTTCAGTATGATAGACCCAGTATTTTCCGTAGAAGAAAAGACCATTTTGACTCAAGACTAATTTTTGAAAAGGGCCTATGTGTTTTGAAAACTTATTATTTAAAAAAATGTAATTCGAAAACAGTTGGTTTTAGAGAAAACATTTCTAAGAGTTGAAGGGAACTAAAATTTAAATTACAATTCTATGCGAAAGAACGGGCAGCAATGAAAAGAAGGTGTGATCTTCGGATGTAAAATAACTTTAAGTTTAAAGAATCTTCGATTCGCAACGATTATGCTGATTATTCGTTATGCAAAAAGTCCGTAATGCCAAATGTCCATTATGCCAAACGTCCTTATGACAAACAACCTCGCAACCAGCCGAGTACGGTGCTGAAGCCGAAAATATTGTTCGTATAAAGTTGCAGAATAACATTTTCAAAAATTGTACCCGTGCTAATGCTAGACTAGCGAACATGGAAAACCGAAATCGTTCTCAATAATTTATAGAAAAGACTGCAAAGCCAAAACAATAGGAAAGAATCTAGAACTACAACAGGTCTTCAATATTGGTTGGTTAGTCTAAGTTTAGAGAAATTATCACAATGGTTCAATGAAAGTTTGACTACCTACACCACTGTACTAAATTATAGACAAAACACACACACACACACAACTCACCTCCTCATCGGTATCGATGCTCCCGAGTGGCGCCCTTCCGACCGGTTCGTCGTAGTCCAGCATGGCCGCCTTCAGCAGTTGCTCCTCGCTCGTCAGGCCACCTCTCATTTGCGTCCCGCTGTTGGTCCGCTGAATGTCCTTCCGGAAAGTTCGATACTCGTCGTCCCCAACACCATTGCGACCCTTCCCCCGGTAACTGCCCGTCCCTCCCTGACTAGTTCCGACTTTCCCAGCCACTTGTGGCACGATGCTTTCCTCCAGCACTTCCTGCTGTGCCGTCATCATCGCCAAAGATTCCTCTCCACTTTGGTCCTCCTGCAAAACTGAGATATCATTGGCTCCGTTATCAGCACCACTAGTGTTGAACAGAGAACGACGCAGTCTGCTGCTATTAGCTCGATGTGATTGTGTCTCGGATGCCGGGGACGAAGTCGGTAGTGCGGCATTGAGCCTTTTCATGCTGATTGGTGGCTGCAGCTGGGGTTCTTCGCAGAAACTGTTCACCGACTTGGTTTTGATTAGATTTTTTGCCGTCTTGTTCACGGTGGCGTAGATCACATTGGGGTTGTTGTTGATCATCAGGTAGCGGTGGTTGGATTCACCGCTGATGAATTCGTTGATAATGGTTTTGTCGTTTTTTGGGGAAATTTCCTGGTAGATCGGTTCCCGATGGAGATCTGCTGCAACCTGTACTTGTCGCAGTGCGGGATGATCCAGGAACTCGCTGCTGGTGGAAATGTGACGCGGTTTCGAACTAGGTTTCCCGTAACGGGCTTTGCTGTAGTGATCCAGTATTCGTTCGTTAGAGTTGGTGCGTTCGCTTTCTACGGCTTGTCGAACGTTGTTCAGGAAGTCACCCATCTGAGCTACGTCGTCCAGGTTTAGGTCGTCGTACGATTGGAAATTTCCGTGTTGACGAGGTGAGCTGGAATCCATAGGGCTTCGCTTGGAATCTTCATTAGGTTTGAAAAATTTCTTCGGAGATATCCGAAGGTTTTTGAGCGTTTTCAAGAACTTCATCTCATGGGGTTTCTGCTTTTTGCGATTCTCGTCTTCAAGACCCACTGCCGGACCGGACAAATTTAGAACTGTTCGAACGGGAAGTTTGGGACGTTTTTCAGCCGGAATTCGAGCGGGAGCGGAGTAGGTGTGAGTCAGGTTGTTTCGAATTATTGCGGATTCTTTCGGACAGGATCCACACCGTAGATGATCTGGCGTGTAACCCAAATGTTTGTGCAGTTGCTTTTTGATGGAGTTTTCTTTGTTGAGATTCGATCCCAGGTGGTACTTCTGGGGAGTCTCAAACTGTTGCTTTTCCTTGCCCTTTTTAAGACTTTGGAGATGAATTTTCTTCTTGGATGCCTCGAAGAATGACTTGGTTCTCCGTACAGCTGCCTTGCGGAACGACTTCTTCTTCGATTTCTCGCTGCATTTCCGGCAAACCTCCGATTCTTCCGGTTTGTCCGGTTCATGGTCACTTCTTCTGCTGTCGCCTAAAAAATGTCTTGATTCCGCTTCCAGCAAATCCCCGGTCGTCCGACGTCGTCGTTCCTTACTACTGTGCTGCCGTCTTTCGCCCCTTTCCGAGTCCAAGAATAGCTCCGTCCTTCTTCCGATCTCTGGAAATTGAAGACGCTTATGAGGGGTACTTTTGATTCTGGAATTGGCAACAAACTGCTCGAAATCCAACGACGACTGTCGTTTTGGTGTTTGCGGGGCGAAATCTACCGTATCAATGTCCAGCTTTGGACCCAACTCGGCGGCTTCGATCCGGTGGCAACAGGAAGCTTGCGGAGCGGCTCGCGAATTGGAAGTCTTGATTAATTGCTTCCGATCTTCATCCTCCGAGTAGTTTAGCATATTGTAGATATGAGGAGGAATTGTAGATCCGTTAGTTCGTTCTTTCGGAACGACCCATCCCATGTTGTGGGACTTTTCCCCCTTATCAGACTTCTCCGGCTTATCGAACTTCCAACCGATTAGATCCGGGTCCGAGTCCAGATCCTGCAGCTTTGGGCAACTGGGTTTTCCAGAGCTGGCTTCCGTTGACGATCCGGATCTCAACATCCAGCCTACTTTCGAATGGTGGCTTCGAGCCGAAGCAAATGTTCGTGGGGGTTTCTTTGGACCGTTAGCATAGTTGGAGGCAGATGAGTCCGAATTAACATCGGACTTGCAGCTACTTTGCTTATCGAGCTTCTTCAGACGCCTGGCCATCAGTTTCCCGATGGGCCGTCCCGAGTAGCGAGGTTTGCCTTCCAGCTTTCCGAACGACATCGAAGAATCGAACGATTCGTCCCCCGCGGACGATGGCTGCAGTGCTGAGTCACTTAAAACTTCAACCGGTGTTTCGATGGCATTTTTACGGTTGATACCGTACAAACGGTCGAAGTGGATCGTTGAATCAAGGATTTCGTTGCAGAAATTATCATCGATTATCTTCTGCCGGCTGAGGTGCGAATTTTCCAACCTCTTTTTCTCGATTTTCTGCTTTTCCTTCTTCTCAGCGGATCGCGATTTGCGCAGTTCTTTGATTTTAGCCTTGTTCAAAATAACCGTAGAAGTGACTTGCATATCGCGGGTCATTTCCTGAATGATGTTGATCATTGGTTCGTCTTTATCGTCGATGAGTTCCTGGGTCGTGACCTTTGGACTCTGCTTGTGACGATCTTCTTCTTCATCGTCATTCCGCTCCGTTTCTTCGGAACTATCATCGTAGCCACAGGTTGACGAATCCAGAAAATCTTTACAGTCCAGAAATTCCTGGCTCTCCGCTGTTTGGAAAAGAGCACTCTCATAATGACTCTGATCGCTAAACAGTTCAGCAGCATTAAAACCCTTGTTCTGCTTACCTTGCCTCTGCACTTCATCCTCCTCGCATTCGGTCGATTCCTCCTCTCCGGTTGATTCTATTCGGTGCTCCACCTCACTTCCATACTCCGGAACCTGCACATGCACAGCCTTCATTTCGGGACCCGTTCTCAACGGTCCTCTCGTATCACAATCCTCAGCAGTCTTATTGATAATATTAATCGTAATTGTGGCAGCCCCTGCCGTCACCACGTGACTCTCACCCGTCCCTATCACATTTGGTCCCACCGTTTCACTACCGTAGCTTCCCACACTCGCCGCGTCCCGACTTCCCTCACTGAAAGCGGAACTACTCCGTACACTCCCCAGACTACTGCTGCTCAGGCTAGCCGTATCGAAATCACTCGTTTCTGTTTCATCCACTAACAACTTCCCTCCGCCTTTCCCCGACTGGAACTTGGCCACCATCATCATGACCCTACTGGTTTCGTTATTATTCCTATCGCGGCACACCTTCACCAGATCCAGAATACCACAGCCATCAACCTCATCCGGATGATCGTTTTGGTGTTTTAATGTAAAGTGTTGTTCTTTGATATGTTTGGGACAATCCACTGCACCAGTACCAGTTATCTGCGCCACTTCTGATGATTTCCGCGGTTCAAGTGGGTCTTCCTTCTCTGATCGATAGCCAACTCCACCACTCACAACATTATCGCTTGCACCATCCTCGACGCTGGGTTCTGGAAAAAAAAGAGAAGGGGGAAAACGAAACCATACATGAGTCAAGTGTTTAAACTACTTCCAAAAAAAAACAACATTACACGCAATTTGGATTCAATTGAACACGAACAAACTGTGAGTGAGGAGGAGAATTACTGTAATTTCCTACAGTCGAGCGTGGTAAAGAGCCAACGAGTCAAATTTGTTTCCCCTTGCTCGTTCGCGCGCGGACCATTCAACTCAACAAAATAACCCAAAATTACTGCCACGAAAAACAAACTCTCAAAATTTTCTGAATGAATAGATGAATGAACCAACCTAAAGCCGAAGCGTGCGACGGAAAAACGTGCCAACACTTTTGTGGTTTGCCGATTGAGATGCATCCACCGACTGAATCGGATTTTCAATGGGAGAGATCGAACGAGTGGGAAACCGTAGAAAACCGCAAATGCTGCTTGCTTGCTTTGCCGCCGCCGGAATGATTCGATCTGGCCAAATGTGGGCAAAACGAGATTCGCCTTCGCACCAAAGTCAGCCACATTTTGCTGGATTTTCCTACACATTTTCCCATTTCGAGACGGAACGCGTTGGTTTGGCCGACGAGCGGCAGCAACGACGGACGCGTCACTGGATTGTAGTATCTAGGTAATATACAGGGATGCCAGGAGTTTTTGCGAAAGGCCTCCAAGGTGGTTTAGGGTAATAAAAATATGTACTGCTTTATGATTAGGGGATGTTCATAAATTACGTAGACAGATTTGGAGACATTTTAGACCCCCCTCTCCGTTTTTCAAAAATTGTATGGGCAGTAGGCACTCGCCAAGCCAAACCCTCCTCTCCTCCCATTAAACAATCTAAGTAGGTTATGGATAGCCCCTTATAGAACAGCCAACCAAATAATTTATCTTTCATCACTTCTACAGCGTTCATAAAACATGTATAAGTTTCACGTTTCGAATACTGCAACATTTTAAGCTAAGCGCTAGACTTAAGCTAATAAGCTAAATAGTACCTATTAAATGCTCCAACTTATTTAACATCATTTTGCTGAATCAAATTCCCTGAGTTTTCCAGGTTTTTAAAGAAACATTCTTGACACCACTCAACACCACTACTTGGCACTGATGAAATCTGCAAGTACTAGATGAAATACGTATCTGTCAAAAGATAAGCAATTATAACAGAATTTAAAGAAAATAAACCAACACACTCAAAGCTCTTCATAAAGGGATTCCGTTAAGAGGTTCGACAAATTTAAAGGATTGAATGATAATTCATTATACCGGCTCTCAACTTAGTGTTCTTTGCACACTTTCACAGTAGTTAATTGAGAGATTTCTATACCCCTTGGCATATGTGTGTTAGTTTTGAATCATCAAAGCTTCTTATGTTCCAGAATCTTGGAAATTTCTCACTTTCCGGAATATTGATCTGAGAACTCACAATTAATAAGTCATGAAAATCGAAAAAAAACTCCTCAAACCTTGAAGATTTGTTATGATCCAAAATAAAGTGAACTTTTGTAAAGTGATATTAAATAGGGGAAATGACGGCTTCGGCATGACAGACTATTTTCGGCAGCCCAAATTGAAACGCTAATTTCACTGGATTATCTTACGAAAACACTTCGCTGAATGCATTCAAACGATTCTTTAGGCTTTCAGCTTCAATTTGATTATATTTTTACCACTGAGAAAAGCAATCTAGCAAGGTTTTCTTGAAATGAAAAACACGCATTACTAAATGCTGCTGATTTCGAGTTGCCGAATAAAAAGATGTTGCCCACAATAGTCGCTCTCACTAGAGAAGATTGGAGCTTTGTAAAAGCGTTTCAAAACAGTTTTGACAATTCTTTCAACTGAAATTGTTAGAGCAACTGGCAGCAAAAGATTGTAAACAAACCAATACTGCATATGTGTGCGTGCCTTAGAGAAAAAGGCAATATAAAGGTGGTCGCTGCTTGGGTTGCCGAGACTACTTAAATTCCCCAGAATTTTTCCTTCGGTGATCTCGATCAACTTTCTGTGTTTGGATCAACTTGAACCCTACACAGGATTTCTTTGAAATTGTCCCAAGAATTTCCCTAGAAACAACTAAAAAAATTGCATATATCTTTGGTATTCCCTTACAATTTACTTCATAATACTCTAGAAATTATCTATATGACGCTCTTTGATTCACCCTGCAATTCTCATAAAATTCATAGCAATTCTCGACATATTACCTTATTCTCCAAAGAATTCTCCTGAAAATATCTCTCCTCAGTATTCACCAAGTATTGCTTTAAAATTCTCATGGAATAATCTTCGGAATTTCCTCTATATTCTGCTCAGAATTATGTTAGAATGGTTTCGTTTATTCCTTGAAATGAGACTCATAATTCGCTAGGTGCTCATAAGTATTCTTTTGAAATATACCTCAAAACTTCATTGGATATTTCCTCGAAACTTTCCTCACAACTTCCTTGAAGTACTCCTAAGAATGCTAGTGGGATTATCCCCAGAATTTTTCTTGAATTATTTTCAGAATTCCCGTTGGAATCTCCTTCTTCACTTGGAATTCTACTTACATGTACCTTGGGGTTCTCATTACAATTCACTTTCAGTTCTCCTTACAAATCCATTAGAACAGTCTCCTCAAAATTACTTTACAGTTTTAGTCAGAACTCTCTTTGAATTCTCTTGGAATTGCCATGAAATGCTCCACAGAATTCTCTTATAAATTTACGTTGAATCCTAATCAGGATACTCAGAACTACCTTGGAATTCTCCTTACGTTTCACCTGAAGTCTTGAGTTCCTCAAAACTAATTTGAAAGGAATCCTCAGATTTGACTTTCCTAAAAATTCATCCTTTAATATTTTCCTCTGAATAACATTGAAGTTCTACATTCCTAGTGATATAATTATTTGTTCACCATCTTTAGCAGAATAACAGCACAGACTGTTTAAAAATACTTAATTCCATTCTTAAAAACTAAGATATTTCTCAAAAGAAATCCGCGACTTCAAATACAAATAAAAATAAACTGGCATTTCAAGCTTATTGCTAATACCATATTGGCTTTTTGCCTGATCTCAACTTAGTGTTCTTTGAAGGACTTCCAAATTTTAATTGAGAGCTATGTCTGTACCGTGTACCAAGCAAGTCGAGAAATTTTCCAACCCGAAAAATTAATAGGCCAGACGAGAATCCATCCCAGCCGGCTCCAGTATGAACTTGCTTCGCAGCTGCACCTTGAGCCAAGGGAAGTATCGTTTGTACCCTTAAAAAATAACAACGTATCATCTTCAGTTATTTATGTTCTTGGTGGTATAAATTCTAAGTAATTAGTGAACATAGTAAAACACTGTTACTTATGAGAATCTATTGAAAAAACGTGACCTAGATTATCTGAAGCATTCTTGTAAAACAAAATAATGACATTTTCTTTAAAATTAACTTCTGGACCCCTGCCGTATTTTGCTGTCCTAAATTGTTGGCTCTAGTTTACTCAATTTTTTACCGATTCGAACCAAAAAAATATCAAGTCATTATCAGAATTTCATAAGTAACACTTGTTGGTCACCTCGGATTAACGGTTCCGGATTTACACGGATATTCCCTGGGATCTGTCCAATGGTCATGTGCAACATATTCGTGATATAAATTCTAATATGAACATATCATTTTTCGTCAGTGTTCACTCGGCTGTCGACAAAAGCAGGCCACTTTTGATGTGTGCTACGCGATCGTCTGTTTTCTCGGCAGCAACCATTGTGTGGTCCTCCTCATTGTTCTTCATCAGCAGTTCTTTCGGTCGATGCGTCGTCGACTTTGGAAAGCAACCGTTTCGTGATGAGTGTGTGAGTGCTGACCACGTTTTGCGTCCATTGCTGCAATGGACGCGCTCTGACCCTCGTTGGCGTACAACAATTTGCCATACAATGAAACCACTGGAAGCGGCTCCAGTTCTGATTGAGGAGGCTTTTTGGATAGCGGAAGATAAAGTGTTTATTGTGTTGTACCTTTTGACTATAGTTTTAAGATGTATTGTATAGTGACCAAGAATCCTCGGCTCTGTAAAGTTAATTCGGTTGAGCCTTATCAAATAAATTAATAAACAAAAAAAAAATACAATTTTTCGTTGTCAAATCAAAACCGAATCGTATATATGTGACATTGTGGATCATGCAAGACTTATTACCGGAAATTCTAGGTTCTCCACATCGTCCAGGACATCAGTTGATTTGTTCTACTAGATCAATCGAGACTGCAATTATGTTTGTTGTATCAAAATATGTTCAATCAGATTCAAATCTATGTGGATCATGCATGACCTATTGCCATATATACCAGATGTTCTAGGTTCTCAAAATCGCCCTGAAGATGAGTTGATTTGTTCTACTAGATCAAACAAGATTGGGACAATATCTTTAGTATCGAAAAACATTCAAACAGATTTTTCGTTCAATTTCGAAATCTATAGGAAACCAACAAACACAAAGAGAGTACACTGGAGTCGCTTTTTACGCGGGTGATACGTCCCGCGTAAAAAAAAACCGCGTAAAAAAAAAACCGCGTAAATTCCGGAATCCGCGTAAAAAAAACCGCGTAAATTCCGAAATCCGCGTAAAAAAAACCGAGTAAAAAAAGACCGTGTAAGAAAAAACCGCGTAAAAAGCGATATACCGCGTAAATTCTGAAATCCGCGTAAAAAAAAAAACCAAAATCCGCGTAAAAAAAAAACCGCGTAAATTCCGGAATCCGCGTAAAAAAAAACCGCGTAAATTCCGAAATCCGCGTAAAAAAAACCGCGTAAAAAAAAAACGTGTAAAAAAAACCGCGTAAAAAGCGACTCCAGTGTAATACCAAGCACTTCAAACCATTCCCATCAACACAAAATGGCCGCTTTTCACCACATGGTTCACAGGATGCAAACTCTTCCTCTTAGCGATACAGGCAAATCAAAGGAAATAGCTCACATTTTTGAAATCGCTAGACTTAATGGGTATCAAGAAAAAACAATTCAAGCAGTAATC